TACAGTCCTGTATAAAAAATAAAATACTTTACTACATATAAAATACTACTTATTTCAAGCATTGGAAGAACAATATACCTAATGTATTTAAATTAAGGTGCTAATTATGCATAATCCCTCCTCTCAGTGCTATCAGATAACTTGATGATTATTAATGATATATTAACATGTAATCAGTACTTCAGTAACTGTAGCTGTGAAATAAATGTATAGTATGTATCTCGCTCAAATAGAATAGAAGTAGCAGCATAAAATGGAAATACTGCATACTAAAACTGTACTGAAGTACCGTACTTTAGTACAAATGCTTAGTTACTTTCAACCACTGCTTGTAGGACAACATTTTGGAAAGTACCAGTAAGTAAGATCACTGGACCTTTCTTTTTCTCTCCTCAATCACATTAATTATTAAATCCAATAAAGTCACGGTGTCAGGAGTGTAAAGGCACTACCACTTATACAGCTTTGAAGTTATTTTGGATACAAATCTTCTGTAAAAGAGTTTAGTTTGGAGCAGTACGATAATAATCTAGTAAAGACTGTGGTTACTTAAGTTGTTCAATGTCCCGGGATGTACATACTACATGTATCAGAAAATCTGTCATCAAAATTTGTGTATTATTTGGTTTTCTTAGCACCTATTACATGTATGTCAATCCTTGGAGAGGGATCCCTCCTCTGTGGGTCTTCCTGAGGTTCTTCCATTTCCCCGTTTAAAAGGGTTTTATTGGGGAGTTTTTCCTTGCCCAAATTGAGGGTCTAGTAAGGACAATGGGCGTTGTACATTGTATAGATTGTAAAGCCCCCTGAAACAATGTATGCTTTGAAAAAAAACTGAAGGACAAATAATGCCTGAAATAGAAAAAAATAAATCTAGTTCTGCTGCAAAGAGTTTGATTCTCCTTTTCAAAAGTCTTGCATTTAAAACTTAAAATTTTTACTTTCTTAAGTTTACTTAAGCACATAAGTATTTGCAGCAAAATATCTAAAAGTAGTACGCAAGACAAAGTATGCAAGTACAAGTACTGATAATGCAGAACAATGGCCCCTGTGAGTGTTTATACTGATGCATTTATGTGTATGCAGCATTTAGCTGCTACACTGAGATGGAGCTACTATGCATTATTATTTATGAGCTCATCATACAATATGTTTGTATGTAAATAAAGGGAGGCACAGTATTTCAAGCAAAAAGTACTTTTTTTGTACAAAAACATCAATGCCAGTGGTGCTAGAGGGCCCCACACAGGGGCCCCTGTACGAGTAAACAGTGGAACCCCAAACCGGGCAATGGAAATTCACATGATCAACACTCACTTAGAGGCAGGGGGGCTGTAAAAATTCCTGCTCCCAGGCCCATTATGAGCCAGCTCTGCCAGTGTTGGCCACAGAGACAGACAGAGGAGGCCGGGATTGTCACAGACAGAGCAGGGATTGTGTATTGCTGATCTGTCACCTAACTGCAGCAACAGAATGCAGACAGTAGGCCGTAATTATTGTTGGTAGCCCGATGTTTGCCAGTGCCACAGTTTCGGCCAAATAGCTCCCATTCTTGGCAATGTTTGGAATTTATCGTGGTCCTTTTATTTTTGTTGCTGAGGTTCCTGTTTCTCTCAAAGCAACAACACTGCAGGGGAGCTCATTAAAAAGGCTGTAGAACAGGGCTAGAAGAAGAATCAAATAAGACGCAACATGAATCAGAGTCAGTCAGCCTGTAATGGGACAGGGCAACAGATAAGTTAAATCTTGTTTCTGGGTGTCATAGCTTCAAAACCGCAGGCGCTGGACAGCAAAAAGGCATCCTTTGTTTCATCCCCCATGATGGTGAATCACCGACCCGCGCGCCCAGTAGCCATAGCAATCGTCCCCAACATTGTTTGCCTGAGCCGAAACCAAGACAGAGACGGATTCAGGGGCTTTCCTGTTAACAGCGATGAACTTTCAAAGGAAGTTAATGATGTACTGTATTTACAAAATTGCAGAAATTAGTGTTTGTAGTGTGCCGTTTGCAGTGGCTTGTCTCTATCTTAGGTAAAGTTAGTTTTTTGTTTTGCTGTTTCATTTAATTTGTATTTTATTTTACTTTGGTTGGCTTCTTTGTGGGTGACAACATGGCAGATTTAGTGGAGGGAGTGGTGCAGCACAATGTCTTTGTTGCGCCTCACTGAGTGCACAGAGATCAGACTGAAGTAAATCTGAATGTGAGAAAGAAAGGCTGTAAATCCGGCTGAAGTCTGTGCGTGATGGTCAGGTTATTACCAGTGATGGAAGTAAATAAGTACATTCACTCTAAGTGTAAACAAACAACAACATACTACAAGTATAAAGGGAAATATTATATTTTTTACTCCAATAGGCTTATGTAAATCTTCAGATTTTACATTTAAAAACATATTATAATGTTATTAAACCAGTTGTTTTCAACTCTTGTGGCTTGTAATAAGGAAAGCAGTGTCTATTTGGGGCCCCTTTGTCACATTTCACATGAGTTGTTAGCAGTTACACCAAAGAGACATTTGCCCTCTTAAAGGTGGGGTCAGTCATTCTGGAAAAAGATTGTTTATTGTTGAGTCCTGTTCCCAGGTCATCAAACACTGATGTTTTAGACTCAACAAGCCATTATTTTTCTCCAGAATGACAGACACTACCTTTAACATCTCAAATGTTTCAATTCAAATAACTTTTTGAGGCCCAAAGAGGTAAAACTCTAAAATGTTTCAGTCCAAAAATGAATACAAATTTAGGCATCAAAACATAGTTTTTTCCTCTTTTCTACATTATTAAACATCTCCCAACCCCTCAAATTTAACTTGTGACCCTTCGGAGGGGCCTGACCCCTAGGTTGGGAACCTACATAACTTTGAATTCGTCTGCAGAACGAGTACCTTTACTTTTGATACTTTGAAGACATTTTGCTGACAATACTTCAGTACTTTTACTTACTGAAAGATACTTTCTCTTGTAATGGAGTGCTTTCATTTTGTTGTATTTTACTTAAATTGCTATCATGAGGAATTTTATTTTCTCTACTTTCAATAAGTAGATTTCCTTAAACATACTGCAACTAAAGCTCCAATGTTTGTGTCAGTGGTCAGCACAGTGAGCAGAGTAAGGAAGGGCGTTCATTTCGGGGAATGTAGCTTCCACTGGATACCTTTCGACCATAGTAACAACAGAGGAATTAAACTGCAGAGGCTTTTTTTCCAAATCTCCATAGTGACTGACAAAACCCTTGGAAAGTAGCCAGAATGGTCACTCTGTAAAGACCTCTCTTTCACTCTCGCTCTCTTTGTCTCCCTATTTCTTTGTCTCTCTCCATGTATGTGTGTGTGTTTGCAGGGAGTGATTGGGTCAGGGACAGGGAGGGGACACGGGAAAATAATAACTTCCCAGCATTTGCCTCTGTCATCAGCATAAAATCATCATAATTCAACGTCAAATATACAGCATCAAATTCTCAAACGACCCGCTGTCATTTGGTCATACTTTTTTTCAAGGATAACATCCTCGGGTCACACATATTTCCAGCCAGCCTGTCAGTGACCATCACATCACAAGTGTCACTTGCATATGCCTGACTGCATCAGGGGGCATCACTCAGACCGACTGACAGCTGCAGATGGCACTCTCTCCTCTGAACACTCACCTGCCTCCGGATGAGTGGATAAGAGTGAGACAAACCCTCCAAGTGTGAAGAGAGACAAAAAACATACACTTATTAATACCTATTCTTACCTAATTACATTGAAGTAAATAACCTTTTTTTGACACCTGAACATTATTCTTTTTAAAGATATTTAAACACCCATGAGTCCAGTCTGGGCTGGAGTTGGGACTTTGGCGCTCTGTTGTACTCTAGTCCCAAATATAAACAGAATATTGTAAGCCTGAGGCTCATTCTGAATTCACATGCTTCTCTTAGTTAATAACCTCATGAAAGTCAAATGTCACCACAGTCCAGAGCCGCTTCTAGGCAATCATCAGTTTGTGTCTCACCCCCAAAAGTAATTTCTAGACAGGAGATTACTGTTGGAATATTTTTTTATGTGCTTTTAGAAAATAAAATGTAGTATGCAAACAAAATTGTAGCCTGTGATTCAATTTATAATTATTATTATTATTGCAATGTTTTTATTAAGTTGACACACTTTATGACTGACTTATTGATTTAATGTCTGATGGTTAGACTGGTTGACTTCAGCAGTGAATTAATCCATTAAATTAGCTCCTCTTTTGCAAAACTGTGATGTTAAAATGAATGTGGTTGAACTAAATTAATAGTTTCTATTTTGTTTCTGATTCTGAATTTAAAACCATTAATAATGTGTGTTTTTTAGAAAGCACCGATTTACATTTTAATATATTAAGTATATTGGATATTGATTGTACAGAGATACTTCCTGACCTACACTTCCAGCATGGAGGTTGAATTTATGCACATAAGGAGAGTTAAAACTCAGGAAATTAGACACTTCCTTACTCATGATGACATCACAATGTTAGTAGTAGACCATTTGGGAAATTGATCTCAACAACTAACTCTATGTTAAAAGAAAGTCCAAATTTAGATGACACCAGTATAGAAAATGTCACATCAGTTGAATGTGTGCCTATTTTTAACCAGGTGGTTAGCTCAAACCTGAAATAACTGATTACTTTGGCCACTTGCAGGCAGTGGAAACAAGTGGATTAGCAAGTTGATTAACAGTTGCTTATTTCACATCCAGGGGATGCGGAGCAACATTATCATAAAGCTGTGCTTCTGAACACATGGTGACTGTAGGTCCAATATTTCCTTTCTTTTATCTCTTTTGAGTATAAGAAATATTTTTTGGGTGTCTTTCTGCCTTATTAGATAGGACAGTCAAAGGTTGACAAGAAAGGGGGTGACACACAGCAAAGCAAGGATTCTTCAAAAGATAATTAGACCGGCAATGTATTTAAACCCAGTAGGTTTAAAAACACTAACTGCTGTTTTAGTCTGGCAATTTTAAACACAATTAAAAAATGAAACATGTTTTATTGAATTTTCTTTTTATGAATACAGCCAAAAACAACATTTTGTCAGAAGCTGCCTTATAATGAATTTAGAAATTTTGTTTTCACAGAACAAATCTGTTCTCACTTCTCAGTTGACATACAGTAGTCCTTTGTTTACCCACAGAGAAGAGCTGCAGAACAACAAGCTGAACATTAGTATCCACAGCTGTCTTAGGAAGCAATTATCTCTGAATATGCATTGCACATTCTGGAAGAACCCAAAGAAACAAACTACAAAAACAAACAAATTATAACAAGCAATAAGATCTGCTTTCAGTCATTTCTCTGATGTGTTGCATTATATCAAATAAGAAATTGATGACTTGTGGTACTTGCATTTATAGATAAAACAGCGATGTACAGTCAGATGCATTGATTCAGTAAAAAAAAAAAGTTGTTCTTATTTGCTGATATTCTATTATATTTTTGATTTTGTAGTTACTTTAAATCTGTGATGTATCTCATGAGTAACCGCCAAAATACAGTAATCAAGTCAGTGTGTGTAAACTGACATTTTTACCTATATACAACATAAATAAGAGGCACAACTCTCTTCAATCACCACACGTGTCTGTAGGTCTGGTGGGGCTACAAGAAAAGTTTTTGTTCAAAGAAAAAACATCTCTAGCTGCGTTACAATAAAATGATCATAGCCGAGACTAGTAACACACACGGCCAGTGTGTGTGAATATTTCTGTGAAACATAATGTCATATAGTTTTATAGTATGGGACAGTATTGGCCACATCTCACATGTAGTGTGTCCAGAGAGTCTTGTGATTGCAGTACACCCCCTCCTCCACTAGATGTCCTCCTCGGCTGTGTCACAGCTGAGGACTCCCCTTCAGGATGCACCTTTCTGTCTTGTATTTTAAACTCAACTGATGCAAATGAAGACAGACTGCCATTTTTACTTGCCCATGTTTTGGAAGTATCAATTGTAGGTGACACCCTGAAACCTCTCCCTTTGATACTGCTTGAATCTTTTTTCCCACTTTTGAAACTGGAGTCATCCATAAAGGGGTCCGAATCGCTTCCATGTGGCATGTTGTAGTAGGTGCACTTCGGAGTTGGAGGCTTCGCCATCTCCTCGAGCTCTGATGAGGATATGGCTGCAAGAGGGTTATGCTGGGTTTTAAAATGAGCCGGGGAATCCTCACAGTTGTTCTCCTGACCCGTATCTATAGATGTGCTATCTACATTATCGTACATTCCCTGGGATACTGGAGGAGATTTTCTGATGAGGTGATTCTCCTTGAGCAGCCATCTACCTTGGTCGATCAAAACCCCATCAGCTGAGTCTTTGTCTGAGGCGAAAGAAATGCACTGCGTGGCCTCTGTGGCAGGCTCGGCGTCTGCCTTTTGTGAGCTTGCAGCGCTGAAATAAGACAGATCCTCCCTTGAGGCTTTAGCGCCTGAGTCAGTAGAAGAGAAACTCCCTCCACTTTTTAATTGCGCATTTTGCAAGGCTTCTGAATTACTTGCGACAGACGTCCCATTAGGGATCTCAGTCTCACGTCTGCAGACTGGGAAATGTCTCTCGGAAGCCTCTTCTCCACTCTCTGTGACAATATCCACAGACTCCTGACTTTTATATCCACCACTCTCTGATGTTTCAGGCCTGTAATCAGACAAATCTGAGGTGCTCGGGGTTGGGAGTCGCTTTAAGCCATACGAACTATCCTCTTTACTTTTTGGAATAAACGTTGGTTTAGTTTGCGTAACTCGAGCATTGTCTGGCTCTATCCTAATGTTGCCCTGAGCGTCATATGTGAATACGAGTGACGAGGACTGTAGGGCAGAGTTAACAAAGTCAAGTAGTTCTTGTGATATTTCCACTGGATGTGGTAGACCGCTGCCTCTTTCCTCGTGATGTTCCCCACCCTCGTCTGTTTCGAGTTCGTTAACAGCGTCTGTTCCGTTGCCTTTATCATCCTCACACTGACCCTCGGAGGAATATTTGGTTGGTGATTCAGTGTCATGTTCTGATACCTTAGTGTCTATATTTGCTTCCTCTTCACAGCTACTCTCCTGCTGCAAATACAAGGCCTCCTCTAGTAGCTTTTTACAATCTGTATCATTGGCAATACTGTCTGCATCATTGTTTTCTTCCTCTACCTCATCCTTTGATTCCTGCTCATTGTCTTCCTCTCCCTCATCCTCATTTTCTTCCTCGTCTTCATCTAGTGTATTCTCTGCTGTTGTGTTTTCTCCATACTTCATCTCCTCTACAGCCTCGTTCTCTACTACTGATTCTTCCTCAAGACTAGTTCCTGTTTTCTCCAACTCTTCCCCGCTTCCTTCACCCTCATCACACTCCTCCTCTTCTACATTCTTGACAGTTTCGTCTTCTTCCTCTTCCTCGTCTGTGATCCCCCTTTCTTCTATATTTTTAACCTCAACATCCTCACGATCCTCCACGTCCTCTTGTTCCTCTTCTTGTTCTCTCTCATCTCCCTCCTCATCGTTCTCCTCACTAACCTCATTTTTTTCCTCTTCCTCATCTTTTTCTTCAACATCTTCTACATCATCCTCCTCAATAACCACCTCCATTTCCTCTTCCTCCTCCCCAGTAACCTCGTCTTCTACATCTTTCTCAATAACTGCATCTGTTTCTTTTCCCTGCCCTTCCAGCTCTTCTTCCTCAATAACCTCCTCATCTTTCTCAGTGACCACATCTTTTCTTCTTCTTCTTCTTCTTCTTCTTCTTCTTCTTCTTCTTCTTCTTCCTCCTCCTTATCCTCCTTCTCCTCCTCCTCCTTCTCTTCAATTATATTTTCAACCTCCTTCTCCCCATCCTTTTCCTCAATAACCTCCTCATCTATATCTTTCTCAGTGACCACATCGTTTTCTTTTTTTTCTTCCTCCTCCTCCTCATGCTCCTCCTCCTCCTCCATCTCCATCTCTTCAATTACTTTTTCTACCTCCTCTTCCCCATCTTTTTCCTCAATAACCTCTGTCATTTCCTCAATTCCTTCCTCTGCTTCCTCTTCTGCATCCTCAGTAAAAGCATCTGCATCATCTTTATCTTCCTCCCCCACGTCTTTGTTCATATTATCGGCTTCCTCTCCTTCATTAGTCTCAATAACCTCATCTGCTTCTTCAGTCTCTTCCCCTTTCTTCACCTCAGTTCTCCATTCCTCACCCTTTTCTTCCTCATCTGCCTCTTCATCAACCTCATCATCCCCTTTCTCTTCCTCCTCTGTCTCATCGACAGCTTCTCTCTCATCCGTCTCTTCAACACTATGATTCTCTCTTGGTTCTTGATCTTCTTCATCCATTGATCCCTCAGCTGTCTCCTCAACCACTTCTTGCTCTTCTGCTTCTAATTCCTCCCCCTCTTCTTCCTCATCCACTGTCATCACTTCCTCCGTCCCTTTCTCTACTTTCTCAAGAGTTTCTTCTTCACTTATGTTTTCTGCTTCCCATTCCTCCTGTCCCTTGTCATCCATTTTTTCTTCTGTCACTACCCCCTCTTCTTCCTCTACTCCCTCTTCTTCATCTCCTTCCCTTTCTCCCATTTCAGTTGCTTCGCCATCATCATCTATCTCTTCTTGATCTCCATCCTCTCTGTCATTCACCTTCTCTCCTTCCTCCTCTACTTGCTCCTCTTCTTCATTTTCTTGTTCTTTTAAGGGCTCATCTATTTCTGTCTGTGATATTTCTGATTCTTTTGCATCAATGCCTGTTTCCTCAACTTTATCGGGTTCTTGCTCTGACTCAGACGCCATCTTGGCCTGTTCACTATCATCATGACCTTGTGTTGTCTGAGTAATGTCCTCAGGCTCGTCTGATTGTTTTGTTTTATCGTCACATTCTCCAACAAATTTTTCCACATCTTCCTCTGTGTCCGACTGGTTTCTTTCTGTTTCTAGAAAAGTGCTCTCCTCTACAGGGTAGAAACTTTTAGCTTGTTGGATTGTTGAAGAAATTTGTTCTCTGAGGTCTGGTGGCATATTCAGTTCCTCCATCAGCTCGTCAATAACCTGATCCTCAAAAACATCACCCCCTTCGGAGACAACATCAAGGGCAAACTCTGTTTCTGAAACTTTAGGAGACAGAGGTTCACTCTCAAGCCTTTCCCTCAGAATCTGGAAATCCTTCCAGCGTTCTCTGAATTGAGAAGATGCTCTGCTTTGCAGATCAGTCAAACTTGACCTCTGCTCTTCCTCGTCATCGATGACAGAAATTTTTTGCAGGGATTCCATCATTAGCATGGCCTCAGAGGTGCTACCTGATTGGTTGCCATCTCCTGATGGGGATCCTATTAGGTTATCTCGCAGAGTCATCACTGATAAAAATGACATGAATGCTTTACATGACGAGCCAAACACTGAAGCCACTTGCGTTTGGAAATCAGGAAGGCTGTTGGACTTCTCAAGATTGGATGTTGTGTTGGTGTCAGACGCCCTTCTGATGCACTGAATCGATGAACAAAGTTGACGCAGGACAGGTTTTATCTTTGTTTTGGGACTTAAAACATTAGATGTAGATGATTCATCGTCAGCTGGACCGATGGCCTCTGCAGATTTGTGTGCCCTCAGTCTGTTCTCCTTGTGTGCAGGATTGACTCTGACACTCGGCATTGAAACACATAAACCTCTCACATTCCTTTCATTTTGCAGCAGACCTGTAGCTGGCGCTGCATGACAAAGAGGTACTGAAAGACAAGAAGATGATTTCTTGATTTCTTGAACATCACCAGGCGATGGATAATACTCATCTAGATTATTGTGGCATTCACTCTTTTCATCTGATTCAGAATCACCGCCTATCTTAAACACAACCTTTGGCTGAGGCTCTGGCTGATCTAAGATGGCCTCCTCAGTGTATGGCACCGGGTCTGGGCTGGCTTTCTCCAACCAGTTCTCAACATATTGGTGGATTTCAGAGGGTGAAGGATTGAGAGAAGGCATAGAAAAACTCTCATTCAACTCTAAAGACTTAATAGGTGATGATATCTTGTTTTCAATCATGGATTTTGGCTTGCGAATTGTCTTTTTGCCTGGCAAGAGTGTTTCTTTGGGTTGTAAAATGTCTAACATGTTCTTCCTCATTTGAGGCCTTCCAGTTGGAGTATTTACATTATGGCCATTATCTTTAGCAGCTGCTTTATTTGTGTTTTTTCTCTGAGGTGGGGTCTTTCTCAACTTTTCAGGGTTAGCTAATAAGGCCTGCTCTTTCCTGGGTGTCTTTTCATCACTACTCACTTTCTTAATTTGAGTCTTTTCTGCTCCTCTACTCTTTTGACCACTTTTATCACTTTCTGGTGAACTCAAACTCTTTTTTCCCACACTAGCATTGCTGCTGAGCTTGTCTGCAGATGAATGTTTGCTATGTTTTGACGGGGTTATTATGCGTTCCTTTTGCTTTTTATCTGAGCTGCTTGTTGAAGTTGAACTCTTCTGTTTCCTAGCAGGGTTGATTGTCTTTTCCTTCTTCTCACTTTTAGGAGTTTTGCCTTTTTTTACTGTCCCCTGTATTTGAGAGTTTTTTGGAGTTATGGCCTTGTTCTCAGTCACTGAAGACAAATTGTTTGTAATCTCCTTTGTTGAAGCTAGAGGCTCTGATGACAATGATAACATCTCCTCTTTCTGTCTTTGTAGGGAGTCAGTAGTGGAAAAATCTATATCGCAATCATAACTGGATGAATGTGGCTCTGAGACACTGGATGGTCTGCTTTCTTGCACTGGAGTAGAACCTTGCAAAGGTACACCATCTGCGCTATAATCCTCATTTGCAAAATAGTTGTCATAGCAGCCTTGACTCTCATAAATATGCATCACAGTCTCTGTAACCTCCATCCCGTTATTCTGTATCTGGAGGACCTCAGCTACTCCTGACGACCTCATGGAGGAGTGGGAGCTTTTCTTACTTGCCCCTGCAGATGTCGTTTTCCGAGGTTTTGGGATCGGCTTGTTGCTGCTGCTGCTGTGTCTGACAACGCAGTAACCTTGATTTGTCTCACCGTCAGCCGTCCTTTCCATGTAGGAATAATGTCCTAGGGTGCTCTCTTGAACCCCCGACTCTGTCACCGTCTTCACACTCTCAACAGACGCTTTCTTATTAACATGCCGAGGACCCGGCGTAGGAGTGCGTTTGAGACCTATTTTTGCTTTTCCCAAGGCCGTGGAATTGTAGCCCTCATACACTCGCTCGTCGTTAAAGCCGACACCCTTTCCAGCTCCAGCGGGATGGTTCTCCTCTTTTGCTTCATCTTCACTGATGCTAGAAGAGTCTTTGGCAACAGCATTGTTTGAGTCAGGTGAGCTATTGCCTGACTCAGAAATCGAGGCACAAACTGTCCCCTTGCTAAGGCTGGAGCGGCTGAGTGTGGTAGTCCAGTGGAGCATCTCCTCCTCTTTAATGGTGAGATGAACTTTCATCTCCACCGTCATGCTGCCATCTTGATTCACACGGAAAGATTTTTCAATGTCATCGTCCTGAGGTACAATGCAAGTATGAAGCTCGCTGTCTACCCTCCCAGCTCTACGTGTCTCCATGGGTGTGTGACGATGGTTGACCTCTGTTTCAAAGGATTCGTTGGTGTGATGCAGTCGGCTGGTTATGCTTCCATTTCGAGACTTGTTAATCTGGTCTGCAATATATCTCTCTGATGATAAGGAAAAATTCCTTGAGCCTCTTCCACTCGAGAAAGATTTGTTGTCTTTGGTTGGAGGTGTTTGTCAAAGAGAGGGAGAAGAACAAAGGGAACAAAATAAAAACAAGTTTAAGGACATTATAAAATCATTATGGAGTATTCATATTGGTTTGAAAGGAATATTTAAAAGAATAGTTTGACATTTTAGGAAATACCCTTATATGCTTCAAAGCCAACCACTGTCATTCGAATAACTTAGCTTAAAATAAAGACTGGAAGCAGGGAAAACAGCTGCCCTGTTTTTTTCCAGTCTTTGTGCTAAGCTAAGCTAACTGTTTCCTGACATTAGAGTGATATATATCTTCTTATCTGATTCTTGGCAAATAAGCAAATTAAGGATAGTTTCCAAAATGCTAACTTTATGAGGTTGAGGCAGAAAACTCAGGCATAAATATATTTATTAGGACAGATGAAACCAAAATGATCTGAAACAGCTAAATACCACTAGAAATATGTGAGTAAATATGTTACAATTTTCATGTATGAATTACTCTGTAGATAAACAGAAGTGAGGGGGTTGTACTTATTTCAGACCGATCACCAGCTGTTCAAACAATAATAATAAGTTCAATAAGATGAAAGTTACTGTCCAGATAGGACTACATGTTATAATCCAAAAAAAAGTCTGCAGACAAAATTTGCTTCTACACAGTGAAAATCTTCAACTGTCTTAGTTTTATTTCTTTGTTTGTGTTCCTTGCATTTGCAATTACTGACTATGCTACTAAGTCATATGCCATGCTTTACAGAGCAATTTACAGTAGTACTGATTAATACTTACGAACTCTGGGCTGCAACATAGATGGTTCCGCAGATTCCACGTACATTACTTGTGCCATCTGCCCGCTTCTGTGAAAACTATAGTTGCCTAATCTGAATGACTCGTTGCCGGCAGCCACAACAACTCCAGAGCACAGGATGAGTGCTGCAAGACCATCAACCTGAAGGAGGAGAAGAAACACTTTTCATTACACTACTCACTTTATGAACTGCATTCCTAGATACATGGAAACTGAAAAGAGATGTTCAATTTGCAGTATCAAAAATTGATGTACACTACACATTTCTGGGGCCACATATTGTCCTAAAACCGACCAGAGGTCACAGATAATAAGGAAGTTCAGAGAGAATAAGATGCATTTAAATGTTCTCAACCTTAATGAGTCATGACCTATGACAGGAAGTCTGTTGCTCTTAAAAGACACATGGGAAGCGGGATTACAGGGTAATAACACACCAGGGGGTAGAGATGTTGATAGCTCCTCTGAGCCCTTCTTGGAATTCTTAAAATGTCTAACGTCACAGGGTAAAAGCATTGATTCCTACTTCCTTCAAGTTGCAATGAAAATTAAACTACGGAAAATGAACAGTTATTTATTTTAGTTGTGCAGTTTTTTGTACATTAATATAGTAACTCCCAAACCAAGAATCTAAAAACAAAATCATCATAGTCAGGGGTCCTCCATAAATGTTGGTGGATGCTGTACACATGATTTCTTTATTTACGTGGGTGTTTTTTGGTTCAAAGCTATGATTAAATAAACACGTCAGTAAAAGCTCAGTCAGACATTAGCATTCATTTCTAGTTCCATGAAGTGTTTCTATATAAAGCTTGGTGCTTTTATAGACTAGACAAAAGTGGAAGCTCTGGGAAAAGCACATTTTAAAGCCATCATAATTGAGAACCTCTAAAAGTGCTCACATTAATGGAGCTTCTGAACTGCTCTAGTTCCATGACAACTGGGAAGACTTGATCGAGAAGAACTGTCAAACCAGAAAAGTCATTGTTTTGGTGAAGAAATTGTGTACATTGATTTGTGTTTTTGTCTGTGTGCATACAACTTTCTTCAGCGTTCCATCCAAAGACTATCCTGTTTGTGTGACCCAGACACACCCTTGCTTAATATAGCCTTAAGTATCCTTACTAAAGTACACTGAAGGAGAACAACACAGGTACTTTGTATCCATGCAGCATGGTGCTAACTGAAAAGTCACAAAAACATTTCCTAGTTTGAAATACGTAAAGATACAGTGCATTGAAAAATACATTTTCCTAGCTCTGATCTTGTGTCCTGGTTGATCAGTTATCGCTAAGGCTAAATAGGTGTCAAGACATAATTTTTGAGTTTCTTTGTTCTGTTTTGTTTTTTTTTTTGCCAAAAACCATCTTGTTTCTCTTCCTGTAAAATGTAAAATTTATATTTTTACATAAAGTTAAATGTGATTTGAGGCGACTATCCCCACCCATCATATGAAACTTTAGGTGGTGTGTGTGTGGATTTCAGCTGCTTGTTTGCTCCCATTTCCAAAGAATGTGCTCCAGGTCTAATATATTTGTTTAGTCCTTATCAAACAACGCGGGTGGTGGAGGTGTTGGTGGAGGTGAACACTGCTCATTAAACCATAGCCACTTTGAGCGAATCAATTTGAAAGATTTGATTTAAATCTAGTAAACCCTGTCAATACATTTAGTTTCCCTCTGAAATCTGTCACATTACCGAAAGTGAAAAAACCCTTTAACTTTTTCAACTTTAACATTTCATTGTGACCTACAATTTAGGAAAAACATGTTTTCTTGCAGAGGGTTCGATGAGAAGATTGATAGCACTCTCTTCTATTTATCTATTCAACATAAAGCTGGAGCCAGTAGTTGGTTAGTTTAGCTTACTATAAAGGCTGGAAATACATAGAAAACAGCTAGCCTGGCCCTGTCTGAGAGTAACAATATCCACCTACCAGCACTTCTACAGCTGTATGCTGGAGTATTTCTCCCGGGCACAGTGACTTATAGGGGTCCTCACTGGTTGCCCGTTTGTTTCCCTTTATGTTAAGTTAGTGGGAATTGTTGGGTCTCTGTAATTAATTACAGTACAGTCTACATTTGCCCATGAAAAGTGTTCTGAGATCATTTTGGTTATGCTTTGGCGCTGTAAAAGTTAAATGTTAAATCGCACTGATTAGACCTTTTTCACAGCAGCCATTTTGACATGAAATAAACACAGGTGTTACAAATGACACTTACTAAGGTTCTGTTCCATTTAGGTCAAACAGAGTCAGGGTGCTGCTATTGTGCATGATGGCTGACAAGAAAGGCTCTGCTACACTAACCTACATTAGTATCATACGTAACACCTGGCTTTATCCTACTATTTTATGTCAGAAATGCCGCTGTGAAAAAAGGTTATTGAATTAAGTTAAGCTAACTGGCTGCTGGCTCCAGCTTCATGTTGAACACACAGATATGATCTCTCAGCAATAAACTGTAGTAATAACTACTTTTAAGAACATATTTACCCATAAAAACTTTATACAGACCAGATTAAAGGACCACTGTGTAGGATTTAGTGACATCAAGCTGTGAAATTGTATATTGCAACCAAGTGTGTAGGAGAAGCTAGAGTGGCTGTGAAATTCTTCAAAAAAGCAAAAGGCCCTATCTAGAGCCAGTGTTTGATTTGTAGGAACATGGTGGTTTAACATGGCAGACTCTGTGGAAGACAACCTGCTCCCTCTGTAGATAAAAAAGGCTAATTCTAAGGTAAAGAAAAAACAGGATTCTTATTTTTCTAAATGTTGCCAATGGATCTTTAAGCAATACCCAAAAGATGCTGCATACAATATTTTCAGGAGGTGCCTTAAATTAGCATTAATCCACAATTATTCTCCATTTTCAGTTTAATACTTACTCTTCTGCCATCTGTAGAGAAGAGTTTCAGCACTGGGAACTGCAGAATCTGGGAAAGGTAATCCAGTAAAGCATCAAAAGTTGGCGCTGTTCTTTTCTGCAACACAATTGTATGTCTAACAGTAGGATCCCTATTCTTGATGACCACAAGTTTCTTTGGTGTCCGTACTGCCACCCTCTCAGTGACCTTTGCTGGCCTGTTGGTGACTTCATTCCTTCTGCTAGACTGGAGTCCTAGCCGCTTTCGTCGCCCTGCACTGAAGGGCCTGGCGGTGTTCCACGGTACCTGCCGCCGGTTCACTTCATCCAGGTTTAACGGCTTCACCCGTTTCTGATCAGAACACACATATGATCCCCCATCTTGGAGGTCATCTAAAGCCTTAACCAGGTGGGTCCCGCGAGGTGTGGTGATGGTCCTCACTCCAAACGGCAGAGGCACTTTCTTGGACAGAGCATCCAGTAGAGCATCAAATGTCTTGAAGGTGCGGGCATTGATGACCATGCGGTGCCCACTGAATTTATAGTCACCGCTTTTGTAGAAGCATACTCTTCTAGAAGCTGAGGGATCAGGGATTGGCTGGAAGGGTCGGGAGGGTAATGTCTGCCCGCTGCCAGAGGACAGTTCCTGGGCAGGTGGCTCCTGGATGGGTGTGTTGCTCATATTGAGTGGCGGTGGCTGGAAAGAAGGCAGAGAGAGGGAGAAAGCTGTTCAAATTATGGAAAGCTGCGCCTTAAATGTTCCACTAAAATGTTGTCTAAGTTGACTGTCAAACACTAATACATACACCTCTTAGTTTGTAGTGTGCTTCCTCATATAGGGAGACTGTTGTTACAATCCATCCAAACAATAAGGTTCATCATGATATGACTGAAAGCACTAAATCCATGTCCCACTACTTCCCTTCTCTAAACTCTCTTGCTTTGCCAAAAGTAGTGTGTTGTTAGAAATTGTCAATGTTGGATTTGACTGTAACTGGCTGATTTTTCTATCATCATCTGAACATACCCACATGAGCACACAAATTAACACTGCATACATTTACTGTGTTGTAATAATGTATAATGTATATGTTACTGTTATATACAGTATATTCTGAATTAAATTATTAAATATTCTTGTTATGCATACATACAGTTCTCCATGTAATATTTATAAAAGTGTCTTTTGTAGATTGATATTAATGCAATAATAGATTATATGGGGATAGGTGACTTAATATCAGTAGGCCTAAATGCAGCCCAGTAGAAAAGCACAGAGCCTCTGTTGTGTAGGTTGTAACAGAGGTTTTATAATAGTCTACAGTAAAGCATTAGTGTGAGGAACAATGTTTCAAAATTCTACATCATTATTGTTAAACTAATAACCACTGTCACTGTAAACAACACAAGTCTAATGAGAAATAGATACAGACTCCGACAAAAGCAATACACACCTGAAACTCATCAACTCATTAGACAAATTACACCCTATAGATACTTAAAATAACTGATCTGGTCAACAAAAGTGTAATGAAGAAGACTTACCGTATAACTCACATTTCACCTTAATTATGAAGACTAAAACAACAGAAAGGGTGCATCCGTTATTCCCCAAGTGCTGGTCAAAGCCTCTCAGCAGCGTTCGAGGGCTATTTTGGGACATGCAACATCACTGCCAATTTGCTTAATCTTTGCTCACACTTAATCAGCATATCAAGGTAACAAACAAATGAAAGAACCAAAGAGGAACTGTACCGACACAGACTGAAAATCTGTGCTGCAAAAAAAAGCAAAAAGGAAATGTTCCCAAAGTCTTCTTAGCCTCATAGGCCATAAACATCTCACTGACCATTTGCACTAACAGACCAATAAGAAAGTAACTGAGTTAATGCCTTAGAAAGTCCCATTATAAATAAGTAAATATGAAGAAGGTGGTGAAAGTTCATGAAGGTATATAAACCCTCCAGGTCAAATTATATTAGCAAATCATTACCGCTCCAAACAGATACCACAGGTGGCTGGGACTATTTCTAATTTGCAAGCAGCCTGCATAATCAGATTGGAGAAGTCTTGGCCTAATAGGGATTAGGTTAAAGATTTTGCGCACTTGCTGACAGCATGAGGCAGAATAAGGTCTTAAGAGAGCACTTTTACCTCACAGTGGGTATTGGAAATCTACCATCAGATTTCAAAACAGACAATATATCAGTATTTGCACTTGTTTACTATCCTGGTGAATGTAATTAATAAGGTTTTGACCACGATTTGGAGAATACTGCAGCTTTGTATCCAAACTAGGAAGGCTAACACAGTACATCCAAATGTTTGTAACATGCAGACTTCATTTATGTTGAGTAGCTAACGATCTAATTGCATCAGGGGGTGAAAACTATGTCACTATACTGCAGTTAGCAGACAGTGTGCCAATTACCAACTGCCCCTGACTGAGTGAAAGCTGCTAATACTTCCCACTAGCACATGTAGTGTCTTGCAAGATGGGGACTTGCTGGTGGGGGGATGGAAGGAAGGGCCTGTGTAGGTCAAACAGGGTTCAATATGAGGGAATATTGCATTAGATTATGTGTTCAATGTGTGGATAATCATAAAATAAAAGCTTCATTAATACTTTTGCCAGTGAGTTACCAAAAGCTCTTTATGAACGGGTGAAAATAATGTGAATTTTGTCACAGTATTTGATATTTTTGGACTGTATAATGTATATTTTATGAACTGTAATTAGCAGTATGTTACAGTTTTGTTCAATGATTGCCTAACCTTCAATCACTGGGTGGTAATGTCACATGCTGATCTGTTTGGATTAGTAAGATCCAAATTAGCGAGTCAGTCAGTGTCATATAATTGCAGTATAAGATCAACAGTACACCATCATCGTGGCCTAGATCCTGTTTATCAAAGGTCACAGGTTTGATCTGCACAACAGCCATTCCTTCTTCAAAGGAGTCCGACCGAAGGCCCTTAGCAAGACAGAAGCTCTTTAACTGACTGTTAATTGTAATGAATAATACAGTGATAACTGTCAACTGTTGCTTGGAGCAAAATAAGTATTTTTACACCCTATGTACCTGCTAGCGAACTTTTCTAGGAGTGAAAATCTCAACAGTATCAAAAAAGTACTGCTACCATCAATGTTCCAACAAAAACCTAAATCAGTGTTTTTCAACCTTTTTGGCTTGTGACTCCTTAAAATGAAGCAATGTTCCCTTGGGACCCATTATTATGAGCTGTATATGTCCAAGGATTATGACTTGGTCCAAACATAGGTAAATTCATCCAGTAATTAGGAAGGAAAAAAAAGCAAAGATCAGAGAAAACTACATCTCATTTTGTATTTTGTAAGATGAATCTTGCGAAACCCTTGTTTGTGACAATACTATGTCTTATTATTATATTATTTTTGATTGATCTGGCCATAATTTTTGTGATTAAGTGGTTGGTATGCAATCAGAAAGTACTTAAAAATATCTCATCACAATTTCCAAGGGCCCAAGTTAACATCTTCAAATTGCTTGTTTTGTCCAATCAATAGGCCCACTTGGTATCCTATAGGACTTTTTGACTTGACTCAGACAAAACTACTAGACTAAACCCAAAGAAATCCTATTTAATACCATAAAAGCCTTTTAAAAAGAGCACATATTAACACTTTATTAATTAGAATACGTGAAAATACACTGAATGGTGAATCTATTACTAAAATCCATTAATAAACTATTTAAAGCTCTCCATCAGATTTAGGATTAATGTGAAACCCAAACATATTTAGTGAACTTGAATGGTTTCCAGCAAGAGATGCAACTGGCACTTTGGCGCTATCTAACGACGGGTAGCAACATTGCCAAAATACAGGCTTTGTTTTTGGGTAACAGCAAGACATATATTCGTGCAGAACTCTAGAAAAACTACAGGCATATCTAAGAATTCATAAAAATAGGTTGTCAGATTAATGCACTGAGTGATGATGAACACCCACTGCTCTGACAGCTCCCAGAGCAATCCTGGGTTCCGTCTCGATTAACTCCCCCTGAACTCATCACGCGTCGACTAGTCATGTCTGCTACACAGCGTCGGGTCAGTGTGCGGTCCCGTCAAGTAGACGCCGCCGCCGCTTTCACTCCAGTGGCGTGGTCTTTTGTCTTCTTCCCCATTTACTCCTAATTTGTTTTTTTTAGGGGGGGGGGATTTCATCAGATCAGTCAACATGGGTAAAAAGGAGGAAGATGAGATTATCAGAATTGCCAAGAAGATGGATAAAATGGCGCAGAAGAAGAACGGGGTGAGTTGTGTGAGAAGAATGAGCGCTTACCTGCGCGCTGCTTAGCCGACCGGGCTGATGTTGATGTTGAGCTAGCGTTGGCGCTAATGGACTTTAAGGGGGTTAGCCGCCGACTGGTTTGCTAATTGAGTCTCTAGCCGGTTCAGTTTTTGTCTGGGTATTTTATTTATGTATTTATTTATTTGTCCAACCGGTAACTACACCCCTTTTACCTTCAACGATTAGCTCCACGGCTAATACTCGCTACCTGTTGTTGTGACTAACGTTAGCTTTAAATAGCTAGCCTGCCAGTCTGTTTATGTTAGCGGCTGTTCTGTTGGGGGCTAGCAGTTAGCCACATAGCAGCCTACTAGTTCTTACTCGCGGTAACGTGTTGGATGTGGTCACTTTGAGATTACAGAAATGAAAGAGGCAGCTATCAAAGTGTGAAGTATAATGACAGTGTTGTTGTGCGTTGTTTTTCAGCGATGTTTTTGCGGCTAAGTAGCTAGTGCCTGTACCGACCCCACTGTGCCGCCGAGCTATTGCTCTACGAGTAATGTAACGTAATAACGTTACTGAGGGTTACTACTAACGATTAGCTTCAGTATCTAATAACGTGCCAGTTATTATCGAGTTATAATTTCTTATTTTAAAAAGTTAGAAATTAGTGACACATGCTTATCACGTTTCCATAGAGCTCAAAGTTATTTATTACAATATTTTATAATGACCGACCAGCAGTCCTAAACCTAGATTCAATTGAGTATATAAACGTATATATGTGTAATTTTTGCTTGATATTTTACTTAAACGATTAATCAGTGATCAAAAAAGTTGTAGATTAATAATCAATCAATGAATCAGTCATTAATTAATGAATAATAACTAGTTAACAAAAGGTTAAGTAATTGATTTTGTCCGACCTACTTGTCCAACCTCTGTCCAACATTAATGATAATAATAATAATAAATAATAATAAACAGAAGTTAACCCAGCAGAATTCAAGATTCATAATAAACCGAGACTTGTGTGAAGTGTAACCATGCTGATGCAGTAGTTAATGTCCACCTGTGACAGAGCACACAAATCCATATACAGCCATGAAGGTTCAGTATGAGATGTGTTCAGATGTATGTAAACACACCAACATCCTCTTCCCCTCTCTGCAGGCTGGGGCTTTGGACCTATTGAAGGAGCTGCGCTGTGTCCCCATGACTCTCGAGCTGCTTCAGGTACCTTTGCTTATATCTTATTGAAGCTCATCGGCAACACAGGTGGTGCTGAAATCCGGCAGCACACTCACACAATGTCTCTCCACAGTCTACCAGAATTGGGATGTCCGTTAATGCCATCCGCAAGCAGAGCACAGACGATGAGGTGACATCCCTAGCCAAGTCCTTGATCAAGTCATGGAAGAAGCTTTTGGGTAACTATTGCTTTTTTAATTGTACTTATACTTTATCATGTGTGAGTTTGTTTTGTTACATTTGATTGTTCTATTGTGCACGGCTATATTAAAGCCAATCATAGCATTATGATTTTGTAGCTGATTGTGAACAGCTTTCCAAAGCTTATAGTAAGACATCATGCTCTGGGTACACCAGCTGTCAAATGTCCTGTTCTTGGAGTTTATTAAATTGACGCCTTGGGTACGTCATAGACTACGTATTGTGGCGGCGCAGGTGATTGTTTCTACTGAAGGCTCATTCATAGTTGTACGTTGTTGCTCTGCAAACAACACTGCCAAAACGCTGGTTGGTGGTGGGGTTTCTATGCCACTGTGTTGTGTTTCGACTGAAGCTGGAACTCTCCCTCGTCTTCCCTCAGCCTGTCTTGTGTGCATGTTAGGTAGGGTTACACAATATGGTAATATAACATCATATTGCAATTTTTTTGACAGATATTGTTATCTTTTAGGGGTCTGTAGCAAATAAACATGTTTTCTTAAATCTGGAGAACAAGATTTGTACACCAGGGCACCTGTGCAGCACTACAGTACTTCATTAAAATGCTGTTTTGTCACACATGTTACTTCACCTACTTCTGTAATTTGCATATTACACTTGGCCATATTGAAATTTCAGTAATATTTCGATTAATTGTGCAGCCTATAATGTTCAATGTGAATGGGAAGGGACTCGTGAAAACCTCAGAAGAGTTAGATAGTTGATGAATTCTTCTTCAAACATACACTCACACATTCTCAGACAAGTGTGTCCTTACACACTGAGACAAACAGGCACACATGGGATGCTGCCTCACTGCATGACATGCTCTTGTATGACCCGTCGTTTTTTCTCCTCCTTTGGTTTCATGGGCGACAAGACAGATTGAGGAGAAACAAGGGAGAGTTTCAGTTTCAGTTGAAACTCAACACAGTGGTTATAGTAACCCCACCACAAACTAGCGTTTTGGCAGCAATATTTGCAGAGCCACGCAGACACATCATGACAAGTGTACATTTTTATATCGGCTTATGTCACTTGCTTGGAAGACTTTTTTTATAGGTATATATTGTGTAATATGTATATGTGTAATTACTAAAACAGATGAATATTAGTGGAGATGATATTTTAATCAGTATCGCAAAATGACTACCGCACATGGCAGTATATTCTCTAGCCAATAATGTCACTTTGGTTGAGGGCAGAACTATTGCTGGCCAAAAAGATAAGAAGCATGCCATATTATCACAATGTACCTGGTTCGATTCCTACCGCGGGTTATTGTTGCATGTCTTCCCCCTCTCTCTTCCAATGTTTCCAAAATGCAAAAAGAATCTGACAGCTTCTCCACGCAGATATTATAAATAAACACTATTCAACACTACGAAAAAATGATTAGAAACCATTAAAGGAAAGCTGTGTGGCTGACTGCTATTCATGTTGTCAAGCATACAAAAGTATTGACCTTTTTAATGTTGGCCATCTCTTGTGTTATATTATTTTCTTACTTGTTTATTTTGTGTTACTTGTACTCTAGATGAGCCTGGTAATGGAGATAAATCTTCAGATGAAAAGAGGAAAGAACAAACTACACCAGTTGTGTCTCCATCGCAGGGAAGCCCAGAGGCAAAAGAAGAGAGGTAACAAGAAATATAATAATATTCTTTTGATACTTGTTTTTCTGATGGTCAAGACAAATCTTCAGAATCGGCTTTGCTCAGTAGCTGATTCAAGATCTCCTGTGTTATTGCTCCCGCAGCAGCTCCAGCAGTAACTCCAGCAGCAAGAGCGAGCCCTCTGAAGTTTCTACCAGCACATTAATCAACACCTTTCCTCGTGCCCCTAGCACCTCTGACTCTATAAGACTCAAGTGCAGAGAGCTGATATCCAACGCTCTGCAGACTGGAGGTAATCCTGTTATTCTAATGTTATTAACACATTTTCACCATGGTATTGTGACTGATTTCTGTTGGTTTCATTTACAAAATTTTACAAAACATTTAGTCCACTCTGACTTTCCCCCCCTCCTCAGATGATCATATTGCTATTGGTGCTGATTGTGATGAACTTGGAGCACAGGTCGAGGAATATATCCTTTACACTGAATGGAAAATGTGTCTCTGGATTTTACTATGTTTTAACCCAATTAGGTCTTTACCCAAATGAATTTGTTGAGGCTTTATGTTTAGCCCAATCAACTGACAGGTTAATCACTAACACGCCTAAAAGGCTCTAGTATTTATAATGAAGCATAAAAAATACATATCCAAAGTTGAATTCCTTGACTTGCTATCACGTATCTTCCAAGAGTTTAAGAACACAGACATGAAATACAAGAACCGCGTGCGGAGCCGAATCTCGAATTTGAAAGATGTGAAGAACCCTAACTTAAGGAAGACTGTGCTATGCGGGAGTGTAACCCCTGAGCGGATGGCGAAGATGACTGCAGAGGTGTGTTGGCAGTCTGTAGTTATTCCAACAGTGCAGTGACAAATCTTAAACTTTTAATTCCATGTTGGTGTAACTAGATTATGTAATGTATATCTGTTGTTACAGCAGTGGCAGAGTTAGATTAGTTTATTTGAAGGCATCATGACATTGTTCTTTTTCTGTAGGAAATGGCCAGTGACGAGCTGAAGGAAATGAGAAAGAATTTGACCAAAGAGGCTGTCAGGGACCACCAGATGGCCACCACTGGAGGCACTCAGACTGATCTATTTACCTGTGGCAAATGCAAGGGGAAGTGCTGCACATACACACAGGTACAGATTGTCATTAATGCTTCATTTTAACTGTGGCAGTAGCAGACAGATGGTATGGTCTGAAAAGTTACAGGTGTGGTTCTAATCAATTTCACTACTGTTGAAACTCCGGGATTTCTTTCAGTCATTCCAACATTGACATCACATTGTTGGTCCTTTGCTGGAAAGGTTGATTTAAATCCATATTCTCCGTTTACATGGTTTGGCTAAAATAACATGGTGCATTGTAGTTTTGTTATGACTGTATGCTTATCAAGTAACTAATGTGAGAAATTGGTTACTTGAGTTTTTCATGATTTAAGTCAACCTGTAAGCTGCTGCTTTTTCCGTACGATATTGTATTAAATGGTTGGTGCGTGTTTGTGTTATTCCCAGGTTCAAACTCGCAGTGCTGATGAGCCAATGACCACGTTTGTCTTCTGCAATGAATGCGGGAATAGATGGAAGGTACGTTGGTCCCCGTGGGCTTTGTTGACTGTTTTATTGTTCGCTCTCCATGCAGAGTTCCACCTGTGCTGAACTCATCAATGCTATTCGGCCTTTAAACAGAAACCTGCGTTCTGTTGTTGCCTGAATGTTGTCGCGTAGATATTAGAGCTGAAATAATTAGTCAATTCATTTATTAATGAATCAACAGAAAAGGAATCTGCAACATAACTGCTATTTAGTTTACCTTTCTTATGTCATTTATCAAGCAAAATTCTAAATATTCTGATTCCACTGTTCAAATATGGGAAATTATAGAGGTTGACAGAATGCATATGTAAAGGAGTAATACGTTTTGTGTTGCATTTATCTGTGAAAATAAGTGTCTTTCAAACTATTTGAGAGTGGAATGATTAGAAAAACAAATAAATTCAATTACACATAGGATGACACTACGCTGACTGGGTATGGATAAAAATATTACAATTGTCAGTCTTAATTAATTGATTGAAAAAAGGGGGGGGTTGGGCTATTTATGACTACTTGATCATCAGTGTTACATATATATATTACAGCGTCCAGGTATTAATTTGTGTTCTTTGTGTTCTTTGTGTTCTTTGTGTCCTAGTTCTGCTGAGTCTGCAGGCATTTCCACGGCACTCGGACAAGTAGCAAAATTCCTGGACCAGGTTCTGTCTCTCTGCAACAGATCGGAGCTTTGAATTCTGTGGTACATGGTACACAACATGCCATACAAAGATGCCACTGCGGTTACCGTTTGAATTAATATCCCGTCATAGATTGAGCTCGTTGTCAGTTCCCCAACAACTCCCCTCCCCCCCAAGATCTTTTACTATTGTTATTAGTTGTTTCTCACTGTCAGATATATGCGATCAGTCTTGTGTCATTCTCTTTTATCTGCATTTTTTATATGTAGTTTTAACACTTTGGACAATGTTGTTTTGCTTTCCCCTCACAACATTGCATTGTTTTATTTAATTTCCCAATAAAGTGTAATCCATTTGATTAAAAAGAAGTGCTTTTCATTAGTCTTGAATCTCTTCTGGCTATGTGAAAATTGAAATTTACACTAATGCAATCAAGGATCTGAGAGGACAAACTGTGTGTGTGTGTGTGTGTGTGTGTGTGTGTGTGTGTGTGTGTGTGTGTGTGTGTGTGTGTGTGTGTGTGTGTGTGTGTGTGTGTGTGTGTGTGTGTGTGTGTGTATACATTTGTTATTGGTGGAATATTCATCACATCAAAGTGAATGCTGATGGATGCATATTAATCTGCCGAGGGACGGGATAATTTCATTGGCTGAACCAGAGAGGGAACACCATTGTTTCCCTTTCCTCTGGGTTTTTTTAATTGCCAGGTGCAACCACTCTATGTTGACAAGCAGTCGTGCTGCTTCACTCACACAAACTGAACCCAGACCAGTCAGACAGTTGGTTTAATCATTGAAACTTGAAGAAGGCTGCATGGCTAAAATGTCATCTAATAACTGCTATGAGCACATATATGTGTTTTTCTCTAATTCTACTATCTGATAAGTGCCTTACTACACTTTTTAGTATGTATTATCTTATGAAGGTCAGCGTCTCATTCATTATTAAGCTGTACCTTAGAAGAAAACATAATCCCATTAACCATCTCATGAGCAATACAAACTCTAGATTCGCCTGATATGTTTGTTTGATGGAGAAAGTAACTTATATTTTGGACCAACATCATTGTTTACTGTACACACTTCAATGGTAGAGAATCATGTTTCTCATATTTACCTTCATACCAGTATTTATCTGCCAAAACATTAAAACCCTTTGATGCCTAGAGGTAAAGTCACAGAACAGTATTTAGATTTGGGTTTATACTTGATGGTTGTGTCATGTGGTGTCAAAAACAAGTCATTATTTTCTTTGAGAGTAGCAGAAAAAGATACTAAACCATTAGAGATGGTATTTGGTCTGTTACAGGAAAGGCTAATATTTTGTGTAAACGTCATCCTGTAATGCAGTGCTTCTCAACCTGGGGGTCGGGAATAAGAGAGAAAACAAACACCCACATCCACACATATTTTATTACATACAGTATTTGTTTTTCCTCACTTTTCCCTAATCTTACATACACAACTGTGCTTAGGTTGACTGCGAGTAATTAGACTAAATATCTTGAACCATGTGTTTTGTTGACACTGGCTCTCCTTCCTCAAAAATAATTGTAAATTCAAACCAATTGTTCCTTTTAATACAGTATTTTGTTTCTTTTTGACATATTATTGAAGTGGTCACACATTTTAAAACAAATTGTTCTTGCACATTTTATGATCAAATGACCAAAAAAATAGGTATGTCATACTTTATATTTGTTATTGGCTATCATTAAGAAATGTATTCACCAAGACAGAAAAAGTCTACAGTGGGGACGTGACTACTGTTTGTGGTTAATTAGACCTCAGAGAGGTGTGACTTCCTCTTAAACGTCTTGTGAGTTGTTATAAAATGCCAAAAGCAAACAGACATATTTGTTGGGAGGGGTGGTGCTGCAGTACTGTCACAGATATGGAAAATATGAAAATTCATTGTATTTAATTATGATTAAGCTTTGAGACCCCAAATAGAAGAAATGCATAATTTTCTGAAACACGTCATCAGTTCTAAATCATGGTTATGAATGATCAAAGTGATAAAACAATGTTCTGTATGTTTCTGATAAACTAAATCTGGTCTCCAGGACATTGGAGTGACAAGCCAAAAGAGTTGGGAACATTTCAGATGCCATATATACACATTGAATTGGAGATTTTCTTTATCTAATTTTACCTGATCAGTTTGTGTGATGGAGGAGTATTTAATGCTTAATATCAGGTAAATTGACTTAGACTTAGATTTATTTATTTTTTCCAGTTAAGTTTTAGTACTTGATGCTTATGTCGTGCTTTTTGTGACCAAATCATTCCAGAGTCGGTAAAATTATTGTGCTTTATTTTATCTCAATCAAAATGCCCACAAGTCATTATTTTCTTGGAGAGTAGCAGAAAAAAAAAACTAAACCATATACTGTAAACATTCACATTATTTGTTTTTTAAAAATGTATTCTTCAGTAAACTCAGCGCAAAATAACACATTTCATATAGTAAACAGAAGAAGAAACAACATGTATAGGCATCACTCCAAACCATTGGCTTAGATTGTGTTTTGAGGTTGATCTGCGCGGTGTATCCATCTGCTCAAATTGCACATAGTAAGTTAAAGTTAACTCTAAGACAAGTAAAAGTGCCACTGTGAAGCACACAGGTTGGCAAGAAGTTCAGATCAACCAGCCCTATCCATTGATCTTTTTGTCCTCAGCAAATAAAGACATGTGTTGTCATCACCCTCCGCCATATTGTTTGGTAGCGCTACCAAAATGGACTGATGTAGTCACGACTAAGGAATCAAGACAAAACACATGCGATAGTTTGGCCAAAGAAAGGGACAATTTCCAGTAAACTGGTCTCGTGCTCCAGTAACCACCCTTATGGCAAGAGTCTGAAAACAACTGTTGCCCATGAGAAAGATGTCATAAAATTTAATGTCAAGGCACTTCCCCATGTGAGGATCTTGTCTTTGAGTGACATGTTTGTGAGGCAACAAAGTAATTCAACTAAAACTATCAGAATACATAAACGTATTTAACACTTGGCAACTCCAATTTTAGTCAATGGAAACGCTTTTCGACAAGCGTATGAACACAGTTTACGTGGTAGCTTTGGTGTTGCTGCTAACCTGGCCTGACCCCCAGAGTCAGTTTTAATCAGAAGTCAATTTTATATTGCAGGTGGGATTTTAAAACCGATTTTTAAGTCAAAATCTTGCAGGATGATACACAAACGACTCCACGAGCTATCAAACATTTTCTCACAAATCTCAGTGATGCTGTCTGTAATTTCCTACTAATTTCCAATAAGTTTCCTGAGAAGAACTACAATTTAAGAATTAATTATTAGTAAAGGTAGAGGCAGTAACGTCCAGTTAATTAATTTTAAATAATTGTCAGCTAAACATGAAAAAAACTCAAATTTGTCTCCAGGCAAAATTACTTAAATGGAGAATTAAATCAATTTATTTGCTTTTATTAGATGAGAAAAATCAATATCACTCTCATATCTGACCAATAGACTAGCTTAGCTTAGCATAATGAATGGAAATAGGTATAAACAGCTAGCTTGGCTCTGTCCAACAGTTACAAAACCCTCCTACCAGCACCTCTAAAGCTTTTTAACACACAATATCTTGTTTGTTTAATCCATTCAAAGTATAAAATCTGAAAATAGCTGTTTTAATGGGTGGTTTTGTGGCAGACTATTTGTTGGCTGGGAGCAGGAACTTCCTTTAGTTCGCCACTGGTTGTCTGTTTTAGACGTTTTGTATGGATTAAACATACAAGATATCTTCGATATATCTTTAAAACTGCTGATAGGCAGATTTTTCTTTTAACCTTTGAACAGTGTCAGGATAGCTGTTTTCCTGTTTCCAGGCTTTGTGCTAAGCTAAGCTAACTGGCCTCTCACTGTAGCTTTACATTTAGCAGCAAGTCCAATAGCAAGTGAATAACCAAATTTTCCAAACTGTCTTCTATTCCTGTAAGTTTCCAATCATATATGAATAATACATTTATATTTACATGGGTTTAAATGGCACAATTCTTATTTTCTCCAAAACTACTACCAAATTTCTTAGTTCTTCTTTAGGAAACAGCCAAGAAGTTAATAGGGAATTACAGGAAATTACTCATAAAATAAAGTGTTCCGGGGATTTACCTACCTAACCTAATGGTATAGTTTACTCCACCATAGAACTTAAATATAATTTGTACTTGTTGGTATTTCTGTATTGGCAATAGATATCAATAAATAAAAAATACTTTATCTGGTAAATAGATTTACATAGGTTCTTATGTCACACTGGTAAAACTATATTAAACCTATGAGGTGTGCATTGAGTAACACTTGAATAAAAAAAAAAAACAACATTAAATCTTAAATAGGCAATCTTCTGTGGTTAAGAGACTGAGTAAAGAAAGTTAAAATACCCTTCCATCATTGATTTGAGTTTCTTATGGAAACAAATTGCAATAGCTAGTGTCACTTTCTGTTATTTCTCTGATAACCACACTTACAGTTGTTTCAATCACGCACAGTTTCTACATGGACTGGAGTTGCCAAGTCGCTGTCACAGGTACCAAAGTGTGAGGTTAGGAAACAAAACAGGGTGAAACCAAGTTAAAATCATACAGTACCCCACAAAGCTGCCTGCAAGTAGAGCTAACATGTAGCCTTTGACTTGAGCTTTGATTTTCATACGCAGTAAATAGAACCAGGCGTTTCTACATAAAATACCCACAATTCCATTTTTACTATTTACAAACTCATAAATATATAGTCTACAGTAGGAATCATTTTCCCCCCAAACAATTATACAAAAAAACAACAGACCATAAAAAACTCTGAACACAAATAAAATAGATTATTTCTATCAAAAGAAAGAAAACAGAAACAAAATGTATTCATATTCCTTTGGAGTGTTTTGCTATGTTGATCCGTAGCAGTACTTGTGATGTCGAGCCCTCGGGAGATTTTGAGACCTGAGTGTCTTCGGTCAGGTGCAGATCACATTAGCGCTGAGATCCCTGGGAGGGGCCAGGCCCGAGGCCCGGTTCATGTAATCCTACACTGAACATACAAAGAAAATTTTAAAAAAGGTGGTAAGGATTTTGGGGGGAGGGGGTTAAAGACAGTTAAAAGATCACAGGTCATCACCACCCTAAGATTCGGGGGACTGCTCTGACAGAGTGTTGAGCAGGTTTTTGTAGGCTGCGGAGTTCATGTAGCGGGGATACGAGTCTCTTTGCATTAGTGTGTAGATCTGCAGCTTGGCATCGTCGAATGTGTGCAAGTTGGGTTCCTGCATGTTCCTGTTGATCGCCTCACGCACACGGGAGTCAAGGCTCACCTGGGAGTCGAGAACAGGGAAAATGAGGAAAACAGCAAGGGCACGTTCTCAATGAAACTGTTTCTTAAAGGAATAGTTTGACATTTTTTATAAATAAGCTTATTTCTTTGTTACAGAACAGTCAATGACATAATTGATCTGAAAAATAAATATGAAGCTACAACCAACTTAGCTTAGCACAAAGGCCGGAAACAGGAAAACTGCTAGCCTGGTCGGGATATCTCAACAATTTGGAGTTCTATGGGAGTTATGGGCTGGACCATTTCATGGCTGGGACTTGAAACTTCCAGTAGTTGCCTGGCTAGCTGTTTCCACCCGTTTCTAGTCTTTATGCTAAGCTAAGCTAATCAGCTGCCGGCTGAAGCGCCATATTCATAGTGGTATCAATCTGCTTATCTGATTCTGTGTACGAAAGCTAAAAATTTCCCCAAATGTCGAACCGTTCCTTTAATGTCAGGGAGAATGAGAAGAATATCATAAAGTTTCACCCTTGAAATTTAACACATTTCTAATAACCGTGAAAAAAAGAGCTGTCTGACCTCTTTAGGTGAGAGAATGGAGATGTAGTCCTCGTAGATGACCCGAGCCTTCTCCTCTATCGTGCTCTTATTGGTCTCTTGGCTGAACTCATCACAGGCTAACCAGAAGAGCATGTTCTCCTCGCTGAACTCAGTGCGAAGAAACTGTCGAAAGGAGTTCCTCCCCGCTGGGCAACACATCAGCTTGTCAAACGACTGCCCCCATAAGCGTACCTCCTCCAGCGTGGGCTTAGGACTGCAGAGAGCATGGGCAACGCAGGAGTGAGAAATTCATTTTCCACAAATATGATTAGAAGATTTACTATTTTTGTGCATTGAAATCAACTGACCAGTCTTCACAGTCTGCGGTCCCTTCCTTGACGTCATAAGAAGCCTTTCGGTTCCTTTCATCCCGGTCTTCATTCCTAATGGTGACATGGAAACATAGCATGCAACAGAAAGGTGGATTATGAACCGCACATCATCACTTATCTACAGAAGTTATTTATTAATGGCTCTGTGTTATTTATTAATCATCTCACTGTACATATCTATCATTTATCTTTTATTTTTAACATGTGCTAAATGTCTTTCTATTGTGATACACAAGTCTAAGCAGACTGTATTTGCTGTGCATATGGGCCACCTCTGTGAACAGAGTAACCATTAATACTATATTCATTTATTATATTATATACTATATAATATTTATCCCAGCATTCTTTGCCATTCTTTGGCACGCAATCTCATTTGTAGAGCTGGAATTATCAGTCAATTTATCAATTAGCTGATGGAAAACTATTTTGATAATCAATTTATGTTCATTTTTTTAACCAAAAATACCAAACTTTCAGACTCTTAAATGTAAATATTTTCTAGCTTTCTTATTCTTCTATGATAGTAAAGTGAATATCTTTCGGTTTAAGACTATTGGTCGAGCAATTTGAGGCCATCAACTTGAGTCTGGGTTATTGTGATGGATATTTTTCACAATTTTCTAACATTTTATAGACCAAACGATTAGTTAGTCGATTATTTTATAATGAAAATGTTCACTATATGTACAGATATTGTCCAGATATTATAGATACTGTTTTCTAACTCTTGCCTGTCTATAATAGCTATGTGATTAAGATGACTTATATCTGTTTAGCTGTATGCCTGTTTCTGTATCGTCTTGTAAATGTGTTCTCTCTACTGTGTCGAAGTATAATGAGAGCTAAAATTCAAATTCTGCAGTAAAGAGCTCACATCTCTCACATTCGCAGCAGATAAGGCATGTCCGCAGATCACATGCGCATGCAAAAATATCAAGAACATAAGACACAAGCTGAAGCCTGCTGCTGAGACACAGTAGCTCAGGCTGTGCTGTCCTGTGTGCAATAATGTCGGACATGCTGGGCAACAATGAGTGAGTTCTCGGGTGGGGGAAGACCTACCAGGAACAGCTACAGCAGCAGCACCAGCAGAAGCAACATGCGTTTGAGCCCCGTGGGTTGGCCTGGCCCGGCTGGCCCTGCTGGGCCGGTGCAGTTCCCCCTGCTGCCGACTCCTGCTGCACCGACATCTGCCTCTTTCGCATCTCCATCCGCTCTGATCCCATGGGCTACAGACAGAGGAGAGGCACTGAGTTTAGTGTTTAGATGTCAGGAATTGTATTTAACTGAGATTTTATTTTGTTGTAAAAAAATATCCTATCCTGCAATGCATGTGTGTCATACAAATTAGTGCCAGTGGCATACAGATAGTAAGGACGGCACTGGGTGTACTGTAATGAGACCAGTGTGAAATCCTGGCAGTGCATCCATTTTTTACCAGCACTCTGATCACTTTCACCATGGTAACGATAAATTAGATTTATTCAATTTACCACTCACCAGTTGACACCTATGTTTTTGCTATGTGTGCTGATGCTCTCTGGCTTCAGCGTGTGTTGGCATGCCCAGAGGTCACACTGTAAAGGAATGCTGTTTTCTCTATTCAGGGCAAAAGTATGGAAGAATAATTTGCTGATTTTGTTTTTCCTGCTGCCAAATATGCACCCGCCAAGCACATTTCAGTCCCTATAATCTCACACTGGCTGCGTGTTTTACACTCTTAACTGCATGTGTAAAAGCGATGGATTCTTGAACATAGGCTCAATGTCCATAATCCAAAATTTTAAATATCCCATTTGTGGAAGCCTGAGTGTAAAAGCAGTGCATTGAGGGATTTGTAATGCTCACTGGGCCCAAGTGGAGCAATAAATTAAATACACATAGAAATTAATGTAAATATCTTTTTGGGATTTTTTTTACTCATCCAATGTCACTTTGTCACGCACCTTTAGGCTGCATCCCATGTTCATGAGATATTACTGTGTTATAATTGTGACCATAGCTCTCTAGCGTATTCAACAGAATCCCCATTAAGGTCTGCAGGCCTATAGAGTACAGGCAGGCTATGCTCACAGAATGACTTCTTGTCTGTCTTTTAACAAACGTGTCATCACCAGGTCAGACACTGCCAAATCCTGTCAGATCATTTATGTAACAAAGCTGTCGCTTCCAAACACACGGCATCATCCGGCTACTACCTGACACAAGAAACGATGCTTTAAAAAAAATGTCAGGAGATTTGGTACATGGGAGGGGGGCCCCGAAGGCGCAGCTTGCAAATCTATAACCGCAGCATCGCTCTATCACAGCCTTTCAGTGAATACAATACCATTTGGTCATTTTCTAAAATGGATCCGAGCGCGGTTTCCCTGAGATTCGGAGCTTGCTTCGGATGCAGGTTTCGTGCGTCTTGCCAAATGGCATATTTTACGCGTTAGGTGTCGGGCACTTCAAAGCTGACACAATTTGCAGTGCGCTATGGCTTGACTCAACAGCTATAGACGATGAAATGGGGGGGTGGGGGTGGTCGTATCCATTCAAAGGATAAATCATGATAACACCAAACAAAGCACAATTCTTCTTCAATCTTACTGTAGCAGAAATGTGAACGACAGTTTGGATTGAATGGTTCCTGCGCGATTTAACAGCAGAAACCATTGCATTAGCAACTCGCAACACATCACATCAATGGAAAGTGCCACCATGAAGAACCGTAGAGCTTCATCGCCCTGGACAACCACCGAAAAGACACTGCCTAGATCTGTTAAAAGCCCCACTGTACAGCAAGATAGTGACATGCCATTTAAAACGCCGGGAAACGGTCTCAAACGCTACGCTCACGAAATGTCCGTGCAATGATACATCGGTTTGCTGCCAGTACTTACAATTTCACCATGTATGCACAGCGAGAAGAGGTAATTCTTTGCCTTGATTACATCCGATGGCACATAAGGCTTTTTCCCCCCCGACCGGCTGCTTCAAGTCAGTACGCATGCGTCTTCTCTCCAACTCGTAGTAGCCCAGTGAGGAGAGTAAACCCTGACAGTATGGCACAGGTTTACAGTGCAGTGCAGGTCCTTCACCTTGCGTGCGAGAAACGGACTATTAAAGCAACTGCGTGATGACAGTTTATAATAAAGAAGACTAAGATGAATTGAAGATTAAGCCTAAACACGCACAAAACAAACAAAACAAAACAAAAAACATCCATAAAATATAACTTGAGCTCTCGTCGCATTACAGCTATGTACAAATTAAAATCCTATTCAAAAATATCAGCGCAAATGTCTCAATTTGTTTGGCACATGCGCCACTAAGCCTCTTCCTGAAGTCGCTGTCTATAGTGCTGAAACAGCCAGCAGCTGATAAGAGTGCAGCAGTTGTTTCAATATGATTTTGACAGCCATTGTTATATCATTTGTGGAGTTAAGTCTTACATTTCTCCTGTGAGTTAAGCGTTTTCAAATTCTTGATTAATCCATCCATCACCGTTTTCCATTTCGTTAACGGTGAATGAGTTTTAATCCCCTTGTCACATACATACGCTCAGACACATAAATGTACAACTGAATCTGCTGCATCCATTTGTTTGTTTAGTTGTTTAACCTGAATTTAAAAGATTAATCAGTGATGGCAGCTACTATTTAGTTAGTAGTTAAAAGACATTACGTCTGATGCATTGCTTCCCCCTATGCAACAATTTGTATGATCCCTGTTAGATAAACTTCAAATTAACTCATAGATTGACATTTCTCCTTGATACATTATATACAGTATGCCCAGGCCTGTTGCATTTAAGCATTTAGTTTTTTTTTATCTCTTTTACGGATTACGTGTGCCTTGTAATCTCCAGTACAGGCCTGCAACCAGTAATGATGTACGACGACACTGCCATCTGAAGGTTGCTCAAACTACAGCACTAACATGTTCTCCATGCACATCATGGTAAAGCACTAACTGACTTATAGGGCTACACTGTTCATGTGAATGTGTGAAATGTTTGGCAGATATGACTTTTTTAATATGATGAATAATATTTCACGTGCTTGTATGAGTATCACACTGTGCCAGTGTAAATGCTATCTGACACACAATCCACCCAGAGATAGTGGGATGTACATTTTCACACATATCTTTCAATGCATATGCCTTTATTAATACTGTGCTTTTAGGTGCATGCCATGTCTTGCTATGTACAAACACCAGATGGCACTCTGCCTATTCTTCAAAAGTCTAGTACAACATACTGTATTTTATGTAATTATCTTCTTAATTTACACCAACACATTTGTGCTGATGCCTGCCTGTGTCACGTTGTCAGTAAAGATGTTTTTTGACAACATGGTAATGAATGTCACCGGTCCCACATTGTAATAATAAGTGCTGCAACATGTAATACAAAACTGATTGGAGAACTGTTCTTACAGTGTCTGCAAAGACCCGGTGCGGTTCTATGATACTGCCTGTTGAACCACTTTGGGATCAGGCATTCATCTGTTCTGTTATCTCACCAACATAGAGAAAAGACATAGATTTCTTTCCTGTCCAGATTAATTATTTTTACTGACTGTGGTGAACTGGGGCGTGCCCTAAGCATCCACACATCTTTATTCCTCTCCAGAGTCATGAACATGTGACTTTCTCCACAACACTTCATTTAACACCTTCCCCTGTGTTCACGTTATGCAACACAGACCCACAAATAGCAATGTGAGATTGATACATACACACGCAAGAAACGAATAATACTTTATGCTGCTGTGATTCGATGAACACACAGACTTCTCCCTCTGAGGGCACAATGCCAAGTGGAGGAGGGAGTCTAAAAACACAAGGTCACACGGAGGAGTAGGACGTCAGAGCTGGGTGACAGGATGAATGTAGTCTTTTCAATATGTGATTAAGGGGATTCAAAGAATTGTGAAGCTTTGAGGAAGATAGAATTAACTGTAGATTAAATCACTGGAGCTCAACCAGAGAGGAAGTGTGCTACCAACACCTCAAGAGATCATGTGTGGCATCTGTGAGCATCTCGAAAGTGAAGATGAATTGTCCAATCACAGCCACAAAGCTGGCAACAGAATAGGAAACATAATTTATTTTACCTGCATTTGATTATTATTGGCATCTCTTTGTACTGTAAATGTCAGGCTCAATTTAATAAAATGAAATCAGTGGGTTACTTCTTGTAACCAAGTTACACAGTCATCTTTTCATTTGTTTTTCTTACTTTAACATCACATTATCATCATAAATCCAGGCAATAGGTCTCCACACAAACTGATTGTCCAAATTACCCCCATCAGTTAGAGTAAACACAATTCTATTGGGCTCATTTAAAAAGCCCAATCTTGCTGTGCTTTCTATCTGACCTTTTTCTTGATTGTCACTTGATTCTGATATACAGAGGTCAGATGTCAGGAGTTCCTCCTGATGACTGGAGGGAAGAAGCTTTTTCTAAGTGTCTCTGTGAGTGCTGTGTTTGCTGCAGAGGTACTGAACCTGGACTCAGGGTCAGAAATATGATCATTTATAATATCTCCATGCATAATTTCAAATTACCCATACACACTGACAATACAGGTCAATTCTTAAAATGTGCAGGAGCTCTTGAGACCATTAATAGTTAAGTTACTAAGTGGAAGGAGACCTTTGCTCTCTTTGCTCTACTGACAAGAACCCTGGGGAGCGCTGGTAGCTCACCTGGTAGAGCTGGCGCACCATGTACCAAGGCTGAGTCCTTGCTGGAGCAGCCATGGGTTTGAGTCTAATTTCTGGCCTTTTGCTATATTCATCCCCCCTCTATCTCCCCCTTTCCTGTCTATCTTGAGCTATCCTGTCCAATAAATGCAAAAAATATAAATAGAGAGAGAGACAAGGACCCTGAAATAACGGTTAGAGGGCATTGTCTTTCTCAGGATTTGCCAGTTATTATTGCTGTAATTCGGGACTCTATAACAAATCGGATTCAAACCAAGTCATGAAGGTCAAATTACAATTGGAAAATAATCCAAAGAAATGACTTGTGAATTGATACCATTTACTGTCCAGTTGCCTATCATTACTGCTGATCTAAATATCATAAACTGGTACACAGATAAAGCATGGATACATGTATATCTGTGGTATAACACAATACATGCTAGGTATCAGTCACAGGGCTCACATTTGTGAACATATGAACTGACTGCATGGCCAATCACATTAATAACTAACTCTAATAATAACTGGGTGTGAATGATCATCGGTGTGAAAGTATATGTATGTATGTATGTATGTATGTACATATGTATGTATGTATGGTAAATTATGTAATTTAGTGTAAACTCAGTCACAGCTGTTCGTTAAATAAAGGTAGGTTAGGACATCCTGTACTGACCATGTAATAGAGCTTTTTCACATCAGACATTTTGACTGTTCATAGCAGGAAAAGCACAGGTGTCAATAATAACATTAACGGTGGACACTGAAATCAGCTGAGATAAATGTAATGTAGCTAAAAAAGTCTCTAGTTAAAGTCAAGTTTGAGTTTGTTGCATGACGTCCCCCTTTCTCTGTCTCTCCTTCTGTCAGCTCTTCATTGTGTGCTATCTAATGAGAGTTAAAATACTCAAGACACTTAATCATACTGACCCTGGTTAGTGTTGTTAATTACAACTGTGCTTTTTCCTACTATGTCAAAATGTCTGTTGTGGAAAATGTCTATATGAGTGCGAACCTCAAATTGATTAATAAACTTATTCAGAAAAGATACAAGAGTCTTAATGTGTGTTTTCTCCAGTTGATGGGAGACTCCACGTCAAAGTTTACAGGTTTGGTTGAGTAATTCTACTGTACTGCGTATGTTGAAATAGTTGTATAAATCATGTTGTGGCTGATACATCACTTAAACTGCCTCAAGTGTGTCAGTTTGGGCTGAAGACTACAAGTTTGAGAATTACCTCACCTCTGTAGCTCGCTCCTCATCTCTGCTTCAGGCTACACTAGCATAACACATCTGAATCTGAGACTGAAGATTTTGTGTGCATTGTGGGTAATGTAGGCACTAGGTTAGCAAGAAGAATGCATGGAATTATTTTTATATTGAAATACAGTGAGTACTATTTCAATGTCTTAATGTCTATTTCTCACTCAATAATGGCTGTGTTCCATATACTTTTATTTCTATTTAGTTATAAATATTTTGACTGGATTTCATCAGGCTCCAGTTCTGCTTGCAGACACTTGGCCATTTCACAAATGTGTTTGTGATATATGTTAATGACCTGAACTGACTCCTCTGTCCTTCCTCTCAGGGACTTTTGGGAGCAGCGCCTATGTCCTCATGGCTCCTTTACAATCCCTTCCCCTCTGTGAATAGTAACATAGTTCTCCTTACTACAGCAGGCATTTGGAAATCTTTAATTATCCATTTACGCATAATGATGCTGCTGCCAAACTCTGAGCAAAGTCACATTTTCAGACTATTTTTAGAAATGACTGAACATACTCACAACTCATTTAGTTGTTTCTCATTAAATATTGCACTAGGATGTTCTGTCATGTATTTTGACTGTCTGGGTGACTGACTGCATAACTTTGTTTGGATTGTTACTGACTAATATCACACTATTTCAGGACACACCATTTTCTTCTTTTAATCTGCTTAAGCCTTGTTTAGACAGGAAGTGCTTCCTTAAATAGAAGTTTGGCAAGAAGCAAAAAGAGCTTCAGACGCTAAGACAGGAGCAGTCCATTTACAATAAACAACAACAACAACAACAACAACAACAAAGGATGAGTATGAAGTTTCATTAACTAAAGGTGATTAATAATATGAAAACATAATTTGTAATACGTTTGAAGATAAACTGCTACTGCAAACTTCCAATGTTAAATTCTCTTTTTAAGGACTCTTTTTTGACACTTTCAACAACAGACTTATGTTATTTCATTATTTGTGTCTGCTTATTAGTGCAACAACAAACAAGCAAAACAGTGATTAGTGTCCTGTGCTTCAAGGGTTTCTGAAATATGTACTCTAAGGAAAATAAAGCAATGTACAGTTGTAGTTTTACTTCATGGTTGGTGACTCTTGACTGTATTTGCTCCATTAAAATGAGCTCTACAGTATTAATCAGAGCTACGTTTATAATAATGAAAGTATTATCAAAAACAGTAGCGCTTATTGGAGGCAAAAAAAACTATAACATGGCCATACCTCAAGGCACACCATCTCCTGTTCCTCTTGGATCGGGTCATTGTAGTTCATTGGGTATCCCACACCATGCCGGCAGGCCCGGACGAGTCCCCGTATCCACTGCCACATCAGGGCCCTGGTGCGTCTGATCACCCACAGAGCAGACGTGGGCCTGATCTCCCACTGCCTCACCGCTCTAGCACATGGCATGCTCCGTCCATGAGGCCTCACTCGCCACGTGAGGCTCAGGTTTCTTCGAGATCATAAGAAATTCACACTCGTTGCTCCTTTCCTCTATGTTTTCCCGGCATCTCTTCTGAAGCACATTGTGACAGAAAGACAAGAGGAGGGGGAAAAAAAGCATCAGTGACCCTGACGAAGAGAAGAGTGTTTACAAAGGAGAGGGCAGAAGGGGATTAGGACAATGTTCCCACTGGATGCAATCCTGATTCCTCTGTGCTTTACTGCGTCTCACCAGCTTAGGCCAGATTAAACTAGGAGGTCTTAGTGTCAGAGTAAGATGGACGGAGAGGAAGACTAGTGACAGACGTGGATTCATTTGTGATTGTATATGCTCCTTGATGAATTCCCATGTAATACAATAGATTAAAACACAGTCTGTTTTACTGAGGAGCTTCTAACATGGTCGTGTTGCTCATTGCAGACTCAAACGGATAAACACTGATCAAAGCTCTTCAGTGTGAGCAATCAACTCACTTCATCTCTCTGTCATCCTCACAAAGCCACAAAGTTAAAGTACACTGGCAAATGATAACACAGCTGATTGTAATTGATTGGCTGCGCTGTAGCCGCTCAGGATGTTGCAAATATCTCTGACAGACAGAAATTCACAGTATTATTATTTTGTCTGCTACCCTGCGTCTCTTTCCAAGGTTTGTTTTCATTCTAGGGGATATTTGCAGTCCTGCCGTGCTTTGGCAGCAGAGACACAGACATTCCCCTTTGACTGACCCCTTCACATCATATTTTACAGCAGCAGCACTCACTTTTTGGGGTTTTTGGGCAAGGCTAGTAAATTATTAAGGGAGTAGAATTTCTGAGTCATTCACACAGACAGATTTACAACTTCCATATGGTGATTTAAACCTAACACATTAATAATTGTATTAAATCACAGAGGTTTTTGAAATTCTAGGAACATATTGATATTATTGATATATCCTAATTATACTCATGCTCAGTTACATGTACATTAACTAGAGTCACAGACAACTGTAGAGTGACAGGGTTTTCAGTCCCTGCTTAAGCTTCTCAAATCAAGGCAAATCAAATCAATAAAAACCTTTAACTAACTTCTTTACACACATTTTTACCAGAAGGCTCTTTTCCAGTCCCTTTTTTTATCCTGTCCAGCACTGTTGTACACTGTGTTTGTATGTATTTATTAATCATTTCATATTATTTATTTATTTCTCATAATTTCAGTGTTCTTGTTTCTCTCTGAAAGGCGCCACATAAATAAAGTTTATTACTATTAAGTGTTACCTGGACGATGTTATTGCTGTAAAAGGTTCAGTAGCTGTTATTATCTTGCAGGAATCAGCTGCATTTTAAGCTTAGGAAATTAATCGGACTGACTTTGTAACCTCAAACACTAGGATTGTATTTCCACCATGTTTACATAAATGGCTTCTAGGAGAGAAAAAAAGGAATAACATAACATTCCTAAATGTAATTCCTTCTTATAGCCAATGCATGTGATAAATAAATAATATGTTATATATGTTAGATGTTATAATCATCTTTAAACACAAAATATTTCTATAATTTTCATACACTCATATACTTACAGGTGACATGCACTTTACGACTGATATCTGCTACTTGTTCATAGACATATGACATTTACAGCCATTTCCGGTTTTGTTTAACATTTTTTTTAATATCAGCTTATATAAATTGTCTAAATATAAAAAGGATCTAAAGCGCCACAATGACGATGCTGAAGATTTAGGTTTCAGTTTCATTCATTGGAACCTATTTCTCATCTTAAAGGTAAACTCGTATCCGTGTTTTCTAACCTGTGCTGGGGCCAGACCGCGGCTCATGTGACCGACTGTCACATGATAGAGCGTGACGCCGTGTTGTAGTCAGTCAGCTGTTCGCACAAGACGCTAGCTGGGTGAGTTTTTACTCCGTTTTTTCAATATCAGATACATTAAAAATTCCCAGTTGTATGATTTGGCTACTTCTGCCATTGAACATGTTATTCCCGTTGGGTTGTGTTATTCGTGTTGTCATTGTGAACGGATGCTTGGCACGGCTAGCTTAGGTTAGCATCCTCAGCTTACATTGCTACGTTAGGTGCTGCGAGCTAACGCGGAGCTAACGGTGCCGTGTCACACATTGGACGTTATAATTGTTGTTTTACATGTATGCGTCATATTTGGCGACAGTCTGAACACAGTTTAATGTCACAGAATATGCAGGGCGTTGCTTTATCTCTAAAACGCATCATGACACGTCGTGACATTGGGTTGAAGCTAGTTCTCTGGTATGACCTGATGCTAGCGGTGTCAGCTTCAGATGCTGTGCTGTTTGTCACACTCAAACTCCTGAGGTGAAATTTTAAGGTTGATAATTCTGCCACACGTTGTAGCATTAATGGCATGAATGGTAAATTATTATATATACTATATAACTAATCTTCCTGGTTAACAGCTAACCAACCTAGTTAACTGCCATTTGTAACTATTTGTCAGCATCATTGGGGGTTGAATTGTTTGCTGTAACTGGTTAAAGTGCTCTACCTACAATTTGCAGCTTGTAGTAAACACAATAAAATTGTGCAAAAACACCTGCAACATTGGCTGAGTCACTGTGTTGATGTTAACTGTTGGTGTTTCCATCCAGGTGGAGTTGGATCTTGGTGTATACATATACTGTAGCAGATATATTACAGGATGGATATCCGCGGGGCTGTGGACGCTGCAGTCCCCACCAACATCATTGCTGCCAAGGCAGCTGAGGTGCGGGCCAATCTGGTCAACTGGCAGTCCTACCTGCAGTAAGTACACGTTGAAACAGCACGTCGTATTAACATACAATCGCTGTACACCTGTACAGTGTAATGCAACTCATTACAACATCTCTGCCATGAATTCTACTTTTACAAAGCTTACATATGTTTAGTTTTTTGTTGACAGTGACTGGAGAGGGAGTTCTGCTTAATGTTATCTATCAGAGCCAGAGTGTCAAGCAGTTAAGCTCTCATTACATCCATCTTTTGGAATATTTAGTGTAATAATTGCAGATCAAGTGCAGTTTTGTCATTCTTAAATCAGCTCTGCTCTAGTTCCTGTATTGTGATTCACTGTCTTGAGTGATACTTCCTCTTTGAGCCTATGAGTCAAATTATAAATCCTAAAAAAATCATTTAAAGACTTTATTCCTTGTTTCAGTTAGTATGGATATACTATTTTTTTTACTATAACTGCCTTCCTCCATGTATCATCCATGGTTTCTTTTGCCCTAACTAGAACATGTGGTATTTCCAGGTTAATTGGTATTATTGTGCAAGCTGCAGTTAGAAGCAGCATGCTAGTGAAAAGGCAAAGGTCGTTCCTCCAGTAACAGGGTCAGTGGCATATGTTGTATGTCTTGCTCCAGTGGTAAAAGGAATGTTTTGAATGCCTCATTATTAACCAGTCATGTCATCACTGTTATACAAATTCAAAAATGTATACAATTAAATGGCAATATCTCGATGAATTCTCTTTTAGGAGTCAGATGATATCTGCAGAGGACTGTGAATTTATCAAGAAATTTGAGGTGGCCAACTCTGAGGAGAAGCAGGTCATTCTGACCAATGAAGGACATCAGGTATCAAGTCCGTTATGTTATCAGTGCTTTTTTGTGTTTGGCTAATATTCTCATCTAACACATGCTTTAGTCGTTCTCCTTTAGATTTCTTTACAGTTGTTTTCAACTTGATCTTTGGTTCACAGCCTTTCAAGCTAAGCAGCCAGCTGGTTGCATAAAGAAGTCTTAAGGCCCTTTCAGATAAATAATATCAACACAGCATGAACAAATACACATACTAAGTGGAATACCTGGGAGACTGTACCTTGGGGCATTGTGGTAATGTAGAATTTACCATGTAAATGTTGAAACAGGAGACGGGGAGAGAGAGAGAGAGAGAGAGAGGAAGGAGTAATCTGTTGCTCTCGTCAAAGTTTAAGAGTTGTACAATTGAACTTTACTTTAAATCACCTGCAGTATCTTGGCTTTTGAAACATCTTTAAACTGGACTATTCTGGTTCATATTTTGCTGAATACTGTCATCCCCACCCCAGTGCAGCTGCTTCCATTGTTCTGCTGTGCTATTGCTGTTCCTGTAAACCTCACTTCAGATGCACCATCTTGCATTTTGCTGAGTTAGTCGTTGGACTGTTTTTAGAGGTGCCAGGCAGAATAAAATAGTCAATAGGAACATGAGAACCGTGTCTGAGTTTTTATCTGTCTTGTTTTTTGCTCAGTGTGCGAAGACCTTTCTGAACCTGATGGCCCACATCTCCAAGGAGCAGACAGTCCAGTACATCCTGACTTTGATTGATGACACTCTTCAGGTACACAGAGAGACCCACTGACTGTGGACAAATAGGACATGCATGACATAAATATATAAATATATATATATATATATGACCAAGAGATTTGATTGAAGTTTTGTGTGCACACAAAGTCTTGGACAGTGTCATGATTTAAAAAGAAAAGTTAAATGACAAAATAGATATTGAAGTTCTTACTTGTATTAGGCACAGCTGAGGGTGGGTTTAGTAATGATTGGTATTACAAAGAGGACATTTTAATTTTCCATGCATGAATAAAAATTGGTATTAAGTTGGATCGTGTGCCATGCAGTCTATTAAATTCTCCAGCTGTGAATAAATAGTAGGTCTGAGTCTGCTCATCTGAAATCTTAATTCAACTGTGATTCAGGAGAACCATCAGCGGGTAAACATCTTCTTTGACTACGCCAAAAAGACGAAGAACACCGCCTGGTCCTACTTCCTTCCAATGCTGAATCGTCAGGACCTTTTTACTGTCCACATGGTGAGTTAAGAGATATTGATACTCAGTGGGGTTGTACAATATGGTAAAAATTTAATGTTTTGAGAGATATTATGATTGTGATATGATTCATGATGAGTGGGAATGATCATTTTTGGATCACATTTTTCATTTTCACTGAAAAAACTATTAAAACTATCACTATATGATACACTACAGTACTTAGTTATAATGCTGTTACATTTTACCTTTATTACTTGGCCATATTTTTGAATTAATTGTGCAGCACCAAGTGTTTTTCAGAGTATGGAAAAATTCAAATGAGGAAATATCACAGTTCAAGCTGTCCCTGCAACACAAGACT